AATATATGGTTGTATTGTTAAAATTGGGTGTCAACAAACTTTTGAAAATCAGTTATTTGAAAGTGCTATTGTCTCCTCTGTTCAAATCCTAAAGATTTTTTTTTTTCTTGCCATGGTTATTATGACACTTGTATTTCTATCTCCCACTAGGTATAGCTGGTTGCAGTTCTTGCAGAAGCATACAGGTTTTTAGCTCAATTATTTAGTCTTCAAAACTGCATTCACACCACTAATCAAATCAATCTATCCCTTGCCTTGCATTTCAAAGTCAGTAATGTTGTTGATTGGCTTGCTGTTTGTGATCTTTTCATGCATTGATTACTTCTGTTACTTGTTCTTATGTTTTTTTTTTTAACCAAAAAAAGCCTCCAAGAGATAGTAATTCTTTCTTACCTTTTAGATAAAATAGGTTTGTTGATATTAAGAAGCAATATGCTTTTTCTGTTGTATTTTTCTCATTGAGAGAAACTGCAGATGATATTTGCTGAGAGCTACAAAATCAGCACTTGGGAGGTAGATGTTGCCTGATTGGTTTGTTTTTTCCCTTCCCTCAAGATTGATTGAAGGGACAGATTGCAGGTGCAATTTCAAGAACAGTAACTAAGTTATCCTTCCAAATTGAAGCTTCTTAAGTTAAAACTTAACTTCCTAATAGTCTTGTTTTAAAATGTTGCCACGCCACACACTTCATGCTAAGGCTTCCACTGCTTGGGTACTAATCTTGTGTGCAGGTACTCATCCTTTTCTGAAGGCAGTGTTTTGAAGGATTTCTTTTTTCAGTATTGGCAGGATGTTCCAGCTCAGTCTCAAAAGAGGCAGTGTTTGATTTTGTTCCAAAGACATCCTACATGCACAAAAGTCTGGTTGCACAAGTTATATGCGGTTATCAGACTTTCCTGTCTGCCTGAAAGTTCATCACAAGTCTTCGTTGAAATTTAAGTCTGAAAGTTTTAGAACGATTCGCCGAGTGCTCCCAGTGGAACATGGTGAGGGAGAGTTTCCAGCGGATTTCAAGGTCATGTTATGAACTCCACTGGGTTTTGGACCAGATTTCAGATCACATAAGGCCTGACAGGCCTTCAGACAGATATTTGATTTGATGGCAAAAAGCAGACTTCAGTAGACTAATAATGCTACTCTTAAGTGTCCTGAGCATGCAAGAATGGTACTTGCGATGTTAAGACACTAAGGAGCGTGCTGGGGAAAGTCTGGGACAGTGCTGCCCCGCATGCAGTCCCTGACATCCAGAGCCCCTTTAGTGGCTACAGCAGTGAAGCTTATGTTTAAAAAAGAGAAGAAAAAAAAAAAAAGAAAAGAAAAAAAAAAGGAAATCTGTAAATGCCTGAAACAAAACTGGAGGCTTGATCTACAGATCTGAAGATTGGATTACATTGCACATGTTTGCCATCCCCTAGCTCTATTAGGGCTGAAGATTGGTCTCATGACTTTGGGTAGAACATGATCCGCAGATCCAAGGGTGATGATAAAAGAGAAAGTCACAGAAGAGAATTTCAGCTTCAGCACCTGAATTTTTGCGTTGAAACGTGAGCCAGTGTTATCCTACCGATTAGTTCCCAATTGTATTATAGGATTGGAAATGGCAAGAAAGCTAAAATATTGAGCTGCAAACACTAATGATAAGCATTGAAAATCTTGGGAAACAGTGTTTTTATTAGACACTCCTTCTAGCCACTCATACCCTGACACTGTCTGCGCTCCAGACAGCGGCCTCAGCTACCTTTTGTGTTGTTTAGTATCGGGAAGTGCAACTTTCAGTACCTTTGGGGCTAGCAAGACTACAAAAAGCAAAAGGGCAAAGCACTGTATTGAGGCATACTTTTATCAGGGATGCTGTTGTCGTACTCGGGAGTCCCCTAAGAGAAATTTCAAGTTCACTGCTGATAGCAGGAAGGGAGAAAACAGTATTTCTTATTGTTGATCCCAGGAATATAATTATTCTAATTTTGCTGTTTCCTTGACCATGTATTTCCAAGGCAAATTGTATGTTGTCCTCACTCTTGGCCCATGTATAGCTTTTTGTGGTGCTTCAGTACAGACTTTCCCTCAGGCATCAGTCTCGAACTGCTGCTGTTAAAAGAGAGAGGAGTGTTTCCTGTACTGGATACCTCCATCTTAACAGAGACTTGCTGGCAAAAGCATCGTTATACTGAGTAAGGTGGTGGCTAGATCAGCAACTGAATTCTGATTTTTCTTTTTTGACGTACCTTTTATCACAAGGAGAAAAGCCTGCCATCTGTATTGTGAATTAGCTTATTCCTTCTAGTGAAAGAGTAGTTACAAGTAGGGTAGTGTGGGGTAGGGAATTAGGCCTGGTTTGTTTGTTGTTGTTCATGTGACTAAGGAAGGGCACAGTAAGTGTGGCGACACGTTTATGAATCAGTGACTCTGTGCGTCTCTCCGACTGGAGACACTGGAAGCGAGAAAGTGAAGTTCAGGGAAACATTGCTGAACTTTGCTCTTTGTGTCCGATGCTTTGGGTACAGAGCAGCTCATTCTGTTTTCATTTCTGCTTGGTGAGACTGATTTAAGGGTTGTTAGGTAAAAATGTGAAAGTCATTAAAGCTGCTCTGCTTTAGAAAGCAAGCTGTGAATTACAGCTGCTTTTCTTTAAGAAGCACAATCCTGATGTCGCACTTCCTTGTTGATTCTAGTTGCTAAGGCATATATGTGTACCCACACGTATATACAGAACCTGGAAAGTCATTAGAAAATGTCTGTGTTACCTTTTCAGTGGAACTTGGTTCCTAGCTGGGGCTTCCTTTTGAGTGTGGGAGTAAAGAGAAAAGAACACGATTACTGTGGTTACACTGTCTGCTTGACTCCCTAAAACTGGCATCAAATCTGATAGTTTCCTCAGTGAACTAAGTCCTGTCCTTTAAGGCTTGAAGCAACTTTTTCTTTTTTGTTTCAGCACCTGATTACCTGTGCTGTAGAAAATGTGCTTTTGGATTTGGTGTTATATTAACCGTGACTTTCAGCCTCTGCACTTTGACATGCCTTTTTGTTTTCAGGATTCAGTGCCACTATTACAAATCTTCTGCCTGTCTAGGGTACCCCTTCTCTGTGGTGAAGTCTTCTACGTTATAGGTTTCTAGTACCTGAACAAACCCATCGCTAGTTGGATAGAAGAATTTTGTAAAGGAAGGAATTTTGTAAAGGAATTTTGTATTCCCATCTGGATGTGATCCTGGGCAATATGCTCTAGAGGACCCTCCTCGAGCAGGGAGGTTGGACTAGATGATCTCCAGAGGTCCCTTCCAACCTAAACGATTCTGTGATTCTGTGAAGGGTTTAATAAACTATATACAGAAGGGCTTCTATAAAGCCATGTAAAGTTTTCTTTATATACAATTTAAATGAAGTATCTTTTTTTTTTTAAAGATCAAATTAAAAAATTATATACTGACAAGCAATCTCTGCAAAAGGTATTAAATTAAAAAATCCTGATTACCAAAACTAAGGGGAATCTAGGATTTCTCGTGTAACCTGAAGACCAACCTAATGCCTCTGTAACTCAGTGAAACTTCCCAAGGTGTGTATTTGCGATAGATAAGTCTGTGATATCTGCAAGTTTCTGAACAGTCTAAGTTGTGGAAGGTAAAGATACCAGTTCTCAAAAGCATCCCACATCAGAAACCCAAGCTACCCAACACCGCTACAGATAGTTTATAAAGCTTTTCTAAAAGTCTGGAGAGATCAGAAGCCCCCAGGCTTCCCCGAAGAATATGAAATCAAACAGTTCCTCTTCTCCTCGTGGAGACCTATCTGAGGTAGCAATTTCTGTTTCACAGTTCTGAAGTTGCTCTTCAGCCTACAGAAGGGAAGCTCAGGAGAGCACTGGTGTCTGTTTCCAAGTTATCTGTTGATGTAGTGCCCTCTGGTGGGCTAGGGCTCACTGGTTTTTGGTCTTACGAGGGATGCAAGGGTTTTTGGCTGGCTAGATTTCTCCTGAAATTTGTGCATGACTTTGTATTTGTCTGCTTTATATCTGGAGGGCATATGAATGGTGGCGTCTCTTATTTACTTAGGTAACTTCATTGAGAAATTTGTTTTATTGCTCCTTATAAGCGCTTACACTAGAACAGAGCTCTTCAAGCAAAACGGATCACTAAGATGATGTCTCATATATGTAGTAGATTCTTTTTCCTTAATACACACTGAGAACAGAATGTGCTTTTCTGTGGCTTGTAGTAGCTGCACAACAGCATCATTAGTAATTTGACCTCCTTTCCGTTGTCACACGTATACTGGCTACAGCTGTTGTCTCACTTTGCTTTTTGGATCCTGATGAAGTGTGGAATTTATATTGTGAATCCTTCACATCGGGTAAATATGGGCTTTTGATTGCTTTGATTTAAATCCTCACAGATACACCTATGCAGTGTCAAGCTAAAAGTATAAATTCAAGGCTAACATAAGCAGTCTTCCATATTTGCTCGCAAGAAACTGACTGGTAATCTTAATCAGTGTTGTAGATATGCTTCCATACATCTGGAATTTAACAGATTGTTTCTATCTAAAGAAATGAACAAAACAAAGAAGGCTTTATTTGGTACTGCACTATATATGGACAAGTGCACGTTTGGGAACGGAGGAGAACAGGACAAAAGTTTGCAGACCACAGTTAAGACTGGCCGGGTTATTGGATCAGTTGCAGCACCATCCAAATATGGTGGATGTTCTGGTCTAGAGTGGGTATTAAATTTGCCTGTATTGTGGTAACTGGTAAGTTTTCAGCTGATAGGATGAAATAATACGTATGAGTTGTTTGAAAACTAATTTTTCAGTTAGTTTTAATTAAAAAATCTCGGTAGAATCTTTGTGGTAAGTTACATGCTGAAATGATATAAAACTTCATTAAAAGTCTGATTTGCTTGCACTTTTTTGTTAAACATAAGTTGCTAAATTTATTTCCAGGCTAGCTCATGTAAAATGTAACATGCTCATATCATTCATAACAATGTCGCCTTTTCTTTAAGGTTTTGACAAAGGGAAGGACGATGTGTCACAAAGTAAAGAGGATACAGCACATTCTATATCAAAAAGCAAGGTAAGGAAAGTGGCCTCAAACTGGCTTAAAAATGTCAGCATACAAGAGAGCTGAGTACCTTTTTTATTAAATACAAGTATATTTAACTTTCATTGTAGATAATCCTGAAGATTTCTCCTCAGGTTTAGCAATAGATAAAGATTAAAGTAAGTTTATTAATACGGTTCTCGAGATGACATCACATGGAAATCTACAGTTTAGATTAGGGAAAAGGAAATGTGGATTCTTCTTGCTGTCATCTTAGTGTCCGGTTTTGCCTAGCCAAATGTAATGATGGATATAGGCCAACTTTTTGTATGGAAGAGGATTTACAGTCCTTAAAGATGTAGGTGAGGATGCTGTTCACTGAGCTTTAGCAAATCTTCAAAGACTGCTAAAGAAACTGTAACTGGAAAAGGTTTAGTTTAACCACTTATGAAGTTGCAGGCTAAAACATAGTTACATGTATTCTTTTGTTCTGTTTATTGAAAGGGCTTTTGTGCCTCAGAAGTCATGTATAAAGGTCCATTTCTGTGAGGCAGTGAGGGCACAGAGGAAAGCGTGCTCAGTAGTACAGTAAACTAGATATAATTGCTATTCATGCTTATACTCTCTGGCAGTCTTATAGAAATGGAAAAGGCAGGAGTCAGGCAAATTCATAATCATCGTGGTATGGTCCCAAAATAAAAAAAAAAAAAAAAAGAAAAAAGGAAAAAAGGTTCATTGAGATGCAGTAAGAATTGAGACCGTACATACTGGAGCTGAGAGACACTGCAGTCACCAGAAACATAGCACTGACATCTTGGGATGGTCAAACTTTAAAAAGGAAGAAAACATGAACTACCGGAGAGCATCCAGAAAGACGTTTACTCTTGTTATATAATGATCCCAGGTATCTCCTTCCAGAGCCCGAATGTTCTGATCAGTAAAAGTGCCTGGCATGTCAGTGCACTAAATTTTTATCTAGTGATTGTTATATATTTAGAATAATAATTCCAGAAAAATATTTTATCAGATGTTTCGTAAAACAGATATCTTTAATGCCTTTAAGAGAAAAAGAGAGAGGAAGAGACTGCATTTTGCAAAGGGGGAAGTTCTGTATGATGAGATCACTGAACTGAGGAGTTCAAGTTGTCTGTTTTTCTTCCATAAGCATCACTGCAGGACAGAGTTTAAAGATACTTTAAATTATCTACGTATGTATGTTTGTATTTTCCGCTGGTGCATCCACTTGCTTTCTGGCTTTTACAAAGGAAGAATGTGATATTAGACACTTAAAAGAGATTGTCAGGGCGCAGCAAGAGCAGGCTTCTCCATAGGGAAAGGTGAGCCTGAGGGTGGGGAGTGACCACGCCAACGAGGAGTGCAGTCCAGCAGCAGCAAGGTGAGCAGAGTGGGGCTGGAGACGGCAACCAGGCTCAGCCAACAGCCCCGATTGCCGGGCAAGTCCGTAGTGATAAGGCAGGTCTGAGGTCTAGCCAGAAACTGAAATCCATGGGTCAGTGCTGGATCAACGAGCGGCCAGGCACAGGTGTATCTGTAACCTTAGTTCAAGGCTAGGCCGAAGGGCTCGTACCTGAGCTTAAATACAGTTCCCAGGGGAAGTGGGGCAGATGCCTGCTTCTCACTGCTTTCTCACAGAGCTCTTTTCATAGCAGTCTCATCCAGCGTTACACAGCTGCACTGTGTTAGAGCTGGCCTTAGGCACAGGTGAGGAAACCCCTCGGAGGGAGAGGGGATGCGCTCAGGGCTTTGACACAAATTTTTAAAAAATGTTTCATATGTCAGAGTCTGAAAGAGAGGAGTTGCTGTTTCCTCCATTTAAAACAAATGTTTAATAGATATTGAAAAAAATCAGCGTAATTTAAAGATTTTTAGTAACAGTTCCCTCCTTAAATGACGTCATTGGAATTGCCCTCGGGGAAGGCAACCTCGCCCTGAGGTCGACAGGTCTCTGTGATGTCATAGCTGAGAAGTCAGGCCCGGGTCTGATCGGAACAGCAAACCTCAGCATGTGTCATCTTTACCCCATCCTAGAGTCTCATTGGTCAGGCAGATCAAGGAAGGGTACTTTACCATTCAGCTTGCTTCTGACTGAAATATTTATATTGGTCCAGAAATCTCTAAATCATCTTTGACTTGGAAGTCAAGTTAAAACTGTTTATTTTAACTTGAATTTACTTCAAACTCTATTAATTATTCACCTTTTACTACCCAATGTATTTTTTCTTCCCTATGCTTATTTTTCTTGATTCTTTTCTATCCAGAATCTTAAACCTCTGTATACTTTGCTGTTACTTTGTTTACTTGCATTTTTCTGCTATCCAAGAGGAGACAGGTATTTCGGCTTATCCTAACATAGGTTTTTCTTCATGTTCCTTTTTGCAATAACTCTGTGTGGCTTAATAAGACTACTGATTCCTTTATACCCCACAAATAATCTTTAGCAGAAGATGGCAGTTGGCTGGCCTAGCTGTGGAGGTTAAGTAACATCCCTTCTTTCTAAACATGGATCAGAAAAGCAGTAACGAGCCTTGCCCAGAACCTAGCATAAAGGTACTGAACGTACCTCACTGGGAATTGCAATTGATTGGCCTAAAACGTCCTCCTCTTTAAATTAGGATCCCTGCAGCTTATTATGTGTGGATAGAGTACTGAGACAGTTACTAATTTAAAAATGTCTGAATCCTCAATCTATCCCAGATCTGTTGTACAGGTGAATATAGTTTCATGCTAGTGAGCTTTAGGATTGTTACTGAGAAAATGAATTTTTGTAACCTGGGGTACTTAGTGTTTGGGGGCTTAAATATTTATGGGCTTTAGATTGTATTAGCTTTCTGTTATTGAGCAACTAGATTATTTATGAATATTTTACTTAAGTTTTCCGTTATACCTTGCATAACGACTTCATTATTTCTTCTTATGAGACAGTGATCCTCCTCTGTTCCTACGTTTGAAGTACAGTATTTCTTTAACTTCTGGACAGAGGATTTACACCACTAAATCTCAAGTTGTATGTCTGTCTTAAAGCTATATTTTGAGTGTTAAGAGCATATGTTTAACACATAATGATAAGGATTCCTTCCTTCCTCCAAGATGTAGGTGGAAGTAGGACGTACCGATTGCTGAAATGATTTTCAGATAGCAAGATTACTTCTTGCCATTAATTTCACTTATCTTTTTGGGGCTTTTTCTGGCAATATGCTTCATGCCTGACAGTGGAAGCAAATAAAGAAAAACTAATTTAGCGTCGGCACAAAATAACAGTTCTTTACCTTGCAATAAAACTAGTTTAATTTTGGCACTTAACAAATAAAAGCTTGTTTGACTATTTTGACTTTTTGGCAAACAAATTAATAGCCTTGTCTAAAGAAACTCCTGTAAAGTGCTAATGCTAATGTCCTGTTAAAGTATTGGAGGCGATGAAGCAGGATCAAGGTTAAATTGCTGTTTGTTCTGTTCATAATTCTTTAATTTTTATCTCTTTGGTTTGAGTGACTTGTGTGTTAGGAAAAAAACAATGTTTAAATGCACTACTTTTATTATTGCATTAAATCATTACTTTTCTCAATGCTTGCATGTTTTTGACTATCACTTTATAGGATTCCAAAATAGAAATTCAGTGAATAAACTTTTCATTGTAGTCTGAGACTTGAAATTACCATTCAGAAATGTTGAACAGACTAAGAAGCAGTTTTCCGTGTCCTTGAATTTACAAAGCTTAAAAGGTTTTATCGGTATTTTTTTTCTCTGGGAAGGAACTTTGAGTGAATCAGATTTACGTTTCAATGCACAAAGAATATAACTCTTTGTGATTTATCATTTATATAGTGGATCCCTACTCAATGTTTCCTGAGTTGCAATAGGAATGACAAGTTCAGTAGACTTTTTTTTAATTTTAAAGACCTCTGGAGCCCAGGGCAAATCTTTGGTTGGCTCCAGTTCCCTTTTAACTAGTAGGCAACCAATGCAAAGGAATAAACTTTGAACCTTATAAGACATGGGGAAAGGGAGGAAGAAATCATGTGGTGCTGAGACAGCATATTGTCCTGTCATGAATGAGGACTTAAGAGTTTATAAACAACCTCGAGTGTCTCTTTCTCCTGTCTCGTGGCACTGCGAGCTTCCCTAAGATGGCTTGAAAAATAGTCCGATCGTGGGGCTGGAAAGGAAGGAGCTGAACGAGTAGCTTTAGTGGTCAGCTGTACTATGATAATTTATAGAACATTGAATTATAGACTGAAGAGACTGTATTTTCCTTCATGGGTCACGGGGTAAGTTCCTCTATAGCAATCAATCTGGAGGAATTGTCAAGTTATGAAGGCACTGGGACTGGGATTGGGAATGAAGGAATATGTCAGACGTGGACCAACTCCCATGTTTAAATACCAGGATTTTCCTAAAACCTTGAAGTCTTCTGTCTGCTAAAAAACGCCTAGCTAGTCAAGAATGTGGCATATGAGCAACAGAGTACAGGTGCTAAATATCTGCTGTATGTAGTTCAGCTTCTGGAGAAGTCAGACTCTCTTTGCCCTTGCAATCCTTATGAAGTAAGACGACTCCATAAATAGACGGTAAACAGCTCATCTTACCTTTTTTTTTTTTTTTTTTTAATGTGGAAGAAATGGAAGAAAAGTGAATGTGATTGGATGTTTGTAAACCTAACTATGCATTTCATACACTTTTTTGAAAGTGCCTGAAGCAATAATATGTCCTGGTATCTATCGTTGTCTCTTCTTTATTCTACGTTTTGTGAATTTCAGTCTGAATCCAAACTTTTCAATGGCTCGGAGAAGGACATCTCTTTGTCTTCAAGCAAGCTTACAAAAAAGGAATCTCTCAAGGTGAATAAATTCCAAAGTATCTCCTCATGGACTGTAAACATACTCACATAGTTTTACCATATTCTCCAGTGAGAAAATAGAAGCCAAGCAGTGATGAGACCTCTGTGGAATACCTATGTATTGTGAGGAGTAGCATTATTGATTCTCTTTGGTTTTCCAGTCTTATTGTGTTGTTACTTGAGTATGGGCTTCTGTAATGTAGTCTTTAGGGCGACAGAAGATTATAGGATAATTTAGGTTAGAAGAGACGTCAGGATATAACCTGTTCCATGTAATTAGATGGTGAAAAGAATTTTCAGGGTTACAACTTGCTGTACCTGCAGTCAACTTGCTGTACCTGCAGTTTTCCTACTGGCTTTGTCCCTGTGTTGTAACAAGATAAGACGCCGCTGTTTGGCAGTTAACACGGCAGGAGAAATGTAAATCTTTTGCCACTAAAGGAGGGTAGGTTGTACCACTGTGAATTCCTACTAGCGAGGGAAAGTAATTGGTGGATGAAGATGACTAACCAGATAATGTACCTGTAAATCTGAACCTGGTTCTGAATTTGTTTTTATATTTAAACCAGGAAAGGAAGTTTTTCTGGGATTCTAATGGGAGTTTTCATGATTCTCATTCTTAGAAACAAACTCTTTTATATCTTGAAGGCAAATACTCTGTTGTGTTTTAAAGCTGCTTCTCTGTATCTGCATTAGAAGGTTTTTTCCTTAACTTGTATTTATAGATGATTTTTGTGCAGTGATTACTTGTTTAGGTCTGTGGCATTATAAATATTTTTATTATTAATTACAGGTTCAAAAGAAAAATTACAGAGAAGAGAAGAAGAGAGCTACCAAAGAATTACTTAGCACTATCACAGACCCATCAGTTATTGTTATGGCTGACTGGCTGAAGGTCAGAATTTAAGTGTGAAACCTGAGCTGAAGATCTAGCAGCTGCCTGCTGCTTTCTCACCAGAATAGAAAAGGCTTAATCGCTTAGTTGCTGATCAATGTTTTTCTACAAGCGCAGGAGCTGTTAATTGAATCCCAGAGTCTCTCTGCTCAAATCCTAGGAAAATAATGGAGTAAACCTAGCTCCTACTTACTGCAGTCACCATAGTCACATGCCTCTCGTATGCATAGCAATTAACTTCAGATGAGTTGGCTTTCAGACTCTTATTTTGTCCTTTTGTTTTACACTTTGAATTTAAACTCTGTTGCCAGTAGCACAAGTCATTCAGATATGTTAAATATTTGAATACAGACTTCTTTATGCATCTCTTTCCAGTTATTTTTCCTTCCTCTCTTAAGAACTAACTGTCCTCTCATACTTGTATAAAAGGTGAGAAATTCATTTTTTACAGGTAGTAGTCAGTCTCATCAGAAGTATTGCATTCTGTTTAATTACTTGAATTTTTAAACATATTTCTTACAAATTGTACAGGAATTTTTTATGTTTAACTCTGAATGATAGCTTATCTGGGAAAAGTTTCTCCAGCTTTTTGTAAAATCAAGGTAAATAGGCTAGAATACTGCTCAGAGATCAGACTGGCATTCAGTCCTGCACATGCCGAAGGAATTAAATTCCAGAGTGGACAGAATGGATGTGAGCAGCCTAATCGGATATGGAAATTCAGGGAGGTTCTTGAAAGGTTCTCCTATCATCTGTGGAATGAAGTTAACAGCTGTTTATAAGAGATTTTGTCCAAGAAATACAAATATGTATGGGAGTTGTTATTTTGTGACTATTCTATTTTTCTCACCAGACTTCTGATCTATTTTCAGTGGGGCTCTGCTTTCAAAGATATTTATACCGTTAATCTTGATTTCATGCTAGTGGTAAAATATTTTCCAAATAGGAAAATTTCAGATGAAATCTCTAAGTACATCTGAATCTGTGTGTGTGTGGGGGAGGGGGGGGGTATTGATCTGTAGAGTAAGTTTTCATCAAGAAAGAGTAGAAGAATGGACATTAAGATTACACTTTTACTGTTCTTTTGATGAAGTTGAATAAACATTTGGTAAAACTTTATACACTCGATAAACTTAGCTTGGAGTAAAGCTACTAAAATTCAATGTTAATTGCCCTTTTGTCAAAGGGGACGCTTCTGGTACTGGCTTCACTCAGATTTAACTTTAACTGTTCATCTTCTAGATTCGTGGCACCTTGAAAAGCTGGACCAAGCTGTGGTGTGTACTGAAACCAGGAGTCTTGCTTATTTACAAAACTCCCAAAAACGGCCAGTGGGTGGGAACAGTGCTCCTGAATGCTTGTGAACTCATTGAGAGGCCTTCTAAAAAAGATGGCTTTTGTTTCAAACTTTTTCATCCTTTGGAGCAGTCCATATGGGCTGTAAAGGTTAGTGGTCATCCATTGAGAACTGTACGTGTTATTAGCATTACCAACTTTGAGTGAAAACAACCTTAACGAAAAGTTGAAGTAAATATTCTGTTAAAGCTTAAGTGGTTTGTCTCTTCCGAACGTAAAGCTTAAGTGGTTTGTCTCTTCCGAACGTAAAACTTGAACATCTAGTCTTCCTCATTACAAAAAGTATTTGATTTATGCTGCATAGTTTACGCTGCTCTGTACGGTTAAACAGCTTCAACTGTGGTGTGTGGAGAGATGCCGTTAAAAAAATTAATGCTGTCTCTGACAGTGGTGTAAGTGGAAGAAAAGAGTATAGTATATAATGTTATATTTTACATCCATCCAGTCTAACCTTCCAATCGCTGTGTATGGTGGGACATTTAAGGAAGGAAGTGATTTGCCAAAATGAAAGAGCTGAGATGGGTTGTGATCATTTCTTGGCTTCGAGTCCTATTATTCAGGGTGTAATAAGTCATTCAAATGGTTTCCTTGTACAGTAGTAGTACATATTACAACTTGTTACCTACTTATGTTCCTTTTTTACTGAAATTTTAGAAAGATAAATGATGTTTGCTTTGTCATATATGGCATAATATTGTTAGCAGCTCTTAGCCCAAAATCATTGAAAAGCATAGTGTGTTCGGCACAGTAAAGGATTATTTCAGTTTCTCATGAGAATCTTTACTTCAAAATTTGCTATTATTTACTTTTCATACTGGAATAAACAGGCTAATAAAGTCCTTATTTTATGTGCACATACGGAGAGGGGGTGTGGAAGCATAGCACGAGTGAACATATTTACCTCCTGAAATGACATCTGTAGTTGAAATTGTTGTACAATATTAGAACCCTTGTAACAGAGAAATAAGCATGCCCTCTGCGACATACATCTTAATACAGATACTAATTGTGAGACTGTATCTTGTGAATCTTTTATTGGTATAGATAATACCAATATAGATATTGGCGCTGTGATATTTGTAGAACGCGCTACACTTTTTGTTTCTTCCCTGTCTCAGAACCAAGGAAGTTAGCAAGTGTAATTCCTGATGTTTGTTTGAGGTCCTCTTCCTGAAGCATTATCATTATCAGTATTATCTAAATTTATGACATGTAGATCAAATCTTTTGTACTTACTTTTTAGAATGATTTTATTTTAATATTCCTTAAGAGGATTTTTCACTGATTAGTGGTGATCTCACATTTGCAGAACACAAGCTTCATACTCTTTTACAAAGCTACAGGGTGGGGTGTTAACGTGACTTAATGGTTTATGATCATGTATATCTACGTTGCAAAGTGGTGGCCTGTCTGCAGAAGATCACAAATCAGTCTTATATTTCTTTATTGCTTGGCAATGAGAAATGGATTTGTTTGTTTTTCTAACTAGATGTTTAGAATTTAGAGGACATGCCCCACCAGATTTTTACTTTTTTAAGGTAGGTCAAATTTTGAACCTGAACAAGTTGATATTGTCCATTATAAATGTGCTGAGAGCTGGAGTGGCATTTGTTCATTTTGGTATGGCTATTTGCAGTTGAGAATTACTAGTTTTAATTAGGTGAAAGGCCTTGAAGTTTGAAACTTGCTGCCCTGTCTTCCTAGTTAACTATATAACTTCCTAGTTACAGATTTATTACTGTGAGGCAAACATTCATAAGTGTTATAGCAATTGACTCATTTACAGAGTAGATTTACCAGAACAAGCCTGAAGTCTAAGATAAAATGAACCATGTTTACCATCAGCCTAGGAAGATGACATTGCAAGGAAATATTTACACAGATGTAAGTACTGCAGGAGATTTTCTTGCTTGAACACACTTCCCACAGCGCGTCCTTTTGGCAGACTCTGAATCCTCTTCTGCAGTAGTTTGAGGCCAGTCACTTAACATGCTTCCTTAAGCCTATTGCTGTGGTCTTTGATGTTCCTCATGCACTCTGAGATAGCTGATGCACTGTATCTTGTTCGTTCTCCTTCACATGCCCAGTCCTGAGGCCATTTTAATTTCCTGAGACTGCTACCTAGAAAAAGTACTGGAAATAATTTTTCACTAATAGATTTAGTTAAAAGTGTGACTGCTTATCTATTTTTGTTACTTTCTATGAATGTTCGTGACATTTGCGTTTTATTGGCATGAATATTCTGTAGGAAGTAAATTTAAAAGTTTTTTTTTTTTTTTTTTAAATCTGTGGAAGTGGAGTTTTAAACTTAATCATTGCCTTGCATTGGAGTATTTGTACAGTCATTTTATCAGGAAGAGAAGCAGTTCAAATGAAGTCACCTAACCAGTGGAAACTGACTGATGTCTCTCTCTCAAAGAATATTAATATACAGATAATTGGTTTTGATTCGTAACTGGTGGCATCAAAATAAAACATGTCTGGTTCTTTTGGAACATCAATCAATCAGAGAAAATCAAAATCCACAAGCAGTTATTCCAAGAGAAGTCAGCCTGCTTAAATGTTTACTGCAAATTATTTGCTCAGTTCTTATTACTGCATTGTCAAAGCACATAAGAACATACCTTTCTCACAGCAGCCAATCTTATCTTCATTCCCAAATTATAGTTATTTGAGGCGTAGTAACTACTATATTCTGTACACCTAGGTCTCACGGGCAGAGCTCTGCCCTTAGTCCATGTTCTGTAAACTGAGAATTGGAGGACTTGTGATGGCTGAGGCCTTTGTGCAGCACCGCAGCACCTCTCCTGGCACGCCGTGATGCGCCATGCCGCATCACAGTGCTCTTCCCTCCCCAGGGCACTGGTCTAGACCACTTCCCCACGTGCCCACTCAGCGATCTGCCCTGGAAATGAGGAGCGCTCCTGCATGGTGTTGTCTCTTGTGGCTTTTGTATAGTTAACGCCCAATCCTTCTATTGCTACTTCACCCAGCGCTTTTCATAGATGCACCTTTCAACTCATTCTGAAGAGGGCTGCAATATATAATCTTGTTTTTAACACCCAAGTTGCGGTTACTCTGTACTTATTATTCGGAAGTTGCTGAACATCATTTACACCTGTGCTAGCTTGTGTGTATTGGTATCTAAGTGCCACCAACGCTCCTTGCTATCCCCCGCCCACCCTTGGAAATGTTTTGGCTGTTTCATATGCTTGCTTCTAAAATATCTGCCTTTATCTGCTTTTGCTCAAAACTTTTGCTTGCTTTCAAGTTCCCTCTTCTAAGCCTTGTACTAGCTTTTCATTAGGCTTCTCTGGGGAAATCAACCAAGACCAAAAAGTGTTAACTTACCCGTTAGGTAGGCTTAACCCAGCTCCACGATAGCTTCAAGTATTACTTTTTAATACAGCCCTCTTTGCCTGTCAGTTGTCTTACTGTTTCTGTAGGTAAACTTTGTAAAGGAGCCTTAAAGTGATTGCTTGGTATTCTATTCCAAAACAATACTTGACAAAAATAGAAGGGTCTTTTGGAATAATGTTTGAATTCAAAATGCACAAATCTTCATAGTGTAAGTAAAAATTTGGCATTTTAAATCCTCTCTGTGTCTTTTAGTTGAACACAATGTCATGGTGTCCTGCTGATACTCTTTATAGAGGGACTTAAGCATCTAAATGCCTTTGATAGACCTAGGTATGACCTTTTTTGTGGGCACCACCTCCATCGAAGCCAAAGGTTAGGCACCTACATGTTTTGTGGTTTGACTACTGGATAGTAGAGAAGTTGAAGAGGAAGGAGGGAAGGAGAAAGGAAGAAGGGGGAACCTATACAGATACCTAGTGTTTGGGTGGGAGGGGTTATCTTCCATTTCCTGTGAATGTAGAGTGACTCATCTGTCTTCCGAGGACAGGCAGAAAGCATGCAGTCCAGGAGCATAGTGCAGTGCTGAGGAGCCAAGCACATTGTCATGTAACATCAGCATGAAGTGCATCACTGAAAAGGGCCTCCTGTTCTCTGCCATGGTTCATCTTGCCCTCATGTCTCGCTGTGCTTTATGAACCATAGCGCCCTGTTAGGAACCAAGGAGAGTCTTTGCTGTCATCAAAAAAAGAACAGAGACCGGAGGAGGGAAGAGCTAGCTGCTGTAAAAAATGTGGGCTCTTCTGCTTGACAGCATTTGTTGTAAATCCGTTCTCTTAAGCCTCCCCACAGAAGTGCCTTTTGTTTTGCTTGCTTTCAATCTCACCTTTTCAGCTTAAATACAAAGCTGAAGAGGAATTGCTTGTCCCTTGCAATCTTGTCTATGTGCTGTAATCCCTTAAAAATGAGGGTGACTCCCCCAGTAGGGTTCCTTTGGATGCTTTTGTCTTTTTGCTGTAAGTGGCATCAGCAGAGCGTTTGCAAGTTACTCTGCCAAGTATGATTTACCAAAAAACCCACCAAAATTATTTGAATGCCAAAGACCTTTCTCTTCAAAGTGGGCTTGAATTGGGAGCTGTACTTAGAGTGAAAACCCTGAAGAGGAAATCCAGTAAAAGAGGGCTGTCCATCTTTCCATTCATGTCTTCATTAGATGTTGCTGAGTGACAGCAAGTAGCCCTGCACTGTGTCAGCTTGAACAATACACTCTAAAACTGAATTAAAATATCTAATGCTATTGCTTTTGTTTTTTGTATTTCAAGGGTCCAAAAGGTGAAGCAGTTGGTTCTATAACTCAGCCGTTACCCAGCAGTTATTTGATCATCCGAGCTGCTTCAGAATCAGATGGTAAATAGATATTTTAGCATTTTTCCACAATGAGAGAACTTATTAGAAAATAGATGTCTTTAGTTCTTTTCCTGTATCTATTGCAGCATTGTGTTTGCAGTTCCATAGTTAAAGTTCTCCATTAGCGTAGTACATTCAGTTGTGTTGGTACTAGACGTTTTTCATGGTTATTAAAGCAGAATATTGTCCTGAAGAAGCTCACTGGGCTCTATACAGTTCCCTTGCTACGGTTGGGTAGAGGAGGGGAAGGGCTATTTCAGGTTTCATTATGTTAATTTTGGTCTAATACTCAAGCTGTCTCCTTTTTAAAGTGCTAACGTGGACCTACTTTGGTTCTAATGCAACTATTTATGTATTATAAAATGCAGTAATACAGTAGAGCTCTAGCAGTAACAGTTCCCTCAAAATATAGCTTTGTAACAATGCTTCATCACTGAGGGGAGGTGGCAGTCGATATTAGGGCAACCATCTTGAAAGGTTGTGAAAGGGAAACAGTTTAAGACGATGTGTAACTTTTTTTTAGCAGCTGCTTTCCTTCTATGGGTTAATTATAAGCTTACCAGTGCAGACTTTAAAAGTAGGACTTTATTTGCCTGCAAATCAAGAGATGATTGGTTTTAAAAAGATAGCGTATTTGAAGGGGAATAGGAGAAGTGGCATTTTGAGGTTATTTATTTTAATTCATCCCTAAGCGTAAGTTTATGCTGCTTTCATTATTTTATTCAAATCCTTTTATTTATTTATTGTTAATGACTTGCAAAGTTGGAAACTGATTATATACAGGGGAATGAAGAAATAAAGAATGGGAAGACTGAACAAATTATTTTCTGGTAGTTATTTGACTTTTTGCAAAAAATGAAAATATCTAATGCTTTATACTGAAGTGATATTTGTATGTTACCATTATAGCTCCTTTTTCACATTGTTACTGTAGTACATTGGCAAATTTTGCCAAGCGATGCAGTTACTTAGTCTTCAAAACTAGCGCATGGTGCAGGCAACTTCAGAGGAGTCCGGCAGTTAGGGCCTAAATGGAACCATAATCCTTACAGTATATTCTAGTATTTCTTCCTTAATGCAACAGAAGCATAACTTACCTTGCTTGTTCTACCCTGAAACATCTCTTGTACCAGCTGTGTAGCCATGAGTTATTTCTGTCACCACCAGATTATAAAATCCAATGCATGTAACGTGAAACAACTCCTTTCCACTGAAGCGTGTCTTCGATGGTAAAGTAAACAGATTGGGAAAGGACTGTGAAACTAGGAAACTGAAGTTGTACAGTTCAGTAAAATACTTAATTTTTACTCTATTAACAACTCTGTCTTTAGGCAGGTGTTGGATGGATGCTTTGGAGTTGGCTTTGAAATGTTCAAGTCTGCTTAAACGTACAATGATTAGGGAAGGTAAAGAACATGATTTGAACTCTTCAGACAGCACGCATGTGTCTCTCTATGGTCTGCTTCGTGGTAACAACTTACACAGTGGAGAAAACTTCCCGTAAGTAAATTAATTACTAAAACTGATTGTCCTTTTGGCAAAACCTCGTAGCGATAACTTCATTTCTCCAGAGGGAGAATCTCTTTCTAAGCTTGCAGTTTCTTTTGCTCCTGAATTCTTTTTAGATGCGTTAGTTGCTATGTGTTTATAAAGGTTTGTAAGAGCAAAATGGGTACAGAGGGAGGTTTGGCCCAAGGAACTCAAAGTGGAATATCACATCTGTAAGTTTTAAATACTCAGTTCAGTTGTTAAAGTTTAATTTTTGATATCCTCAGGTTGGTCTTTCTTGTAGTCTTCACCTGAAAATATAAAGTTCAATTTATGTGACGGAAGTTGGTAGATCTGAATATATGTTGTTGTTCTTTGGTTGAACTATGAATAATATAGTTATTTAAACAGTTTCAGCATGTTTTAACTTTGAAGCATCAGATAATATAATAGAGTGACTGAAGTATTGTTCATTCAAGTTAAAAAAAAAAAAAAAAAACAGCACAAAAGTTGAACTCTCGCACTTGGATCTCTTCAACCTTTTTGGTATCAGAAAGTGCATAAAATTTATCATGTGGCATCCAGTGTCTAAGTACACTTGAGTAACTGCCTGTTCAGTTTAATAAATACTTTCAGATAGATTTTTGGGAGCATAATAAACTTTCTCATAAAAATATTATTAAACAAGCATGATGAATGGTATTTTCAAACACTTTGATTGTGACAGCAAAGTGCATTAGAAAATACAAAAGATTTAGTCCTTTATCTGAAATAATTAGGTCTGAAGCTTGGGCTGTGCATGACTTTTCTGAATAATATTCCATGAATTCAGTATACTTTCTGATTGACCTTAAAATATTTTGAATAGTCACTCCTGCATGTGAAGATTCAGTTGCCTGTCTGTCCTTTCTGGGTGGGCAGGAAGTTGATGTTGCTGTTAAAGTATGTTTCAGTATTTGAGGTGAAAGTAAAGCTTTGCACTGGGAGAAACACAATTCTTTCTGGCCTAACTAGCCTGAGAAAAGGCATGTTGTTGCCTCAGGTCCAGATTCATGCCCCTATCCACATGACCAAACAGTCTCTTAGTGGAGTTCTTGCTCCTTCCATTCTCCCATGGAAAAGAATATTGCTTTATACAGTTCAGCTGAAGATCTGTTGTCATGAATAGTAATTTAATGTCATTATGTTCTAGTTTGGTAGGTGAGAACTCTTCAGCTGGCTCAGATTACAGTCACACAATTAGTTACATCTGTTAAGCTTAATTAAGACTAATATTTTAATTAAGTAGTTCTTTGGATGTAGCCTATTCTAAGTGTTTTCAGTGTTTGAATCTCTAAGGAACAAAAAATCTTCAGGCCTGATTTTAATGGGATTAGCAGGAGAGGGAGAAGAAAGGTGAAGGTGGTTTTAGCTCTGTATTAACACAGCCCACCACACTTCCTGCTTCAGGTTACACAGTTGCACACCTTCCCAGGAAGACTGGGGCATGATGCTCTGCTGTGGCTTGGTCAACAAATTTTAAAAGGCTAGTTCTCAGCTGTATCTTTGACAAAATCAACATTTACTTTTACTGCCTTAGTCTGAGAGAGGAGGCAATGTTCTCCACCTGCCAGTTAGTGCCTTGTATGAAATACAACTTCAAATACAGAATCTCCTGTTTTCACTTGATCTTTTTCTACTAGGTGGAGAGTTGCTTTCCCACCCTGTTAGTATGATCTCATTTATCCAACCTCTGCAGAAGTCTTTCTCCTTCTCTCCAGTTATGCTCTGGTGCTATTGCAACAGTTGGTTCAGCCATGTTGTTTAGGTTGCCTGTCTTACTTGTGCAGTTGCACAAACAAATGTTATGAATAAAAGTTACTTGAAGTGTTGCCAAACGTAACTTCTTCTCTAGTAAGCGGTGAACTTTACATGTGCTTTCAGGCTTATTTGGTCTGCATGCATGCCAAACTAACAGGTAGTATATAGTGAAACTATACAGGGAAGGCAAATTAATCTGAGAACTTAATAGGTAAAAATGTAAGGCAGCTAGACTTAGTGCATTTAATGTTTCAGTGCAAAGAGTGCATCCTGTATTCCTCCAGGGAAGGTAGTTTGACGTTGCTGCAGATCAGGGTTGATGCTCACTGGCGCTAATGTTTTGTATTTTGTCCAGATCCTGGTTTGGAAACAAGAAATTAGTTGAATATTCATTTTGCCTTTATATTTGTGTAGGTTAAACGACAGTGAAATTGAAAGGCATCAGTTTAAAGATCCAGACATGTACTCTGACAAATCTGATAAGGAAAATGAACATGATCATGATGAATCTGATAATGATGGATTGGGGAAAAGCGAAGAAAGCGACAGTGACACCTCAGAGCGACAAGACGATTCTTATGTTGATCCGGAACCAATCGATATTAAGGAAACTACTTATTTAGAGCAGAGTCATGAAGAACTTGGGGAGGTAAAAGTGCTGTTTATGTAGTGGGCAGACCTCTTTTCCAAATAGCAGGCTATAGCAGGGTATTTTAGGGGTCAGATCATATCTGGAAAACTGACTTGCAGGATTGGCTTTCATATTTTCTGTAATACTGGGGCAAAGTTATTTCCACCTATGTTCTGCTGTGCTATACCACTGCTGTGCTTTTGTGTCTGAGACTTTGAGGAAAGATAATGAGAAGATTATATAGAAGAGGAAAGATAATGAGAAGGTTATATAGAATATTGCTCAAACAAAAGGCACTGATTTTGAAAGGACAACCTGCAAGAGAAGTTGACTGTCTCTCTTTCCTTTTGTTATTGTTTCTCATTGCTTTTCATTAACTTATTTATTTTTCCTCAGATAAAGAACTAGGAGCTGTAAATATTTTAATGCTAGCTGACACCTCTGTTTTTCTACTTTTTTTTTTTTTTTTTTTTTAAAGAAAGGAGTTAAAGAGCCATAGGATTTGCAGAATTCAGTAGAAGGCTTGCTGTCCTTTTTATGGTCACCTTAGATTCTAACACAATGCCCAGAGTTACCATTCCGCTTGTGTGGGTTGTCCTGTGCATCTACGTGAGGCAAATATGAGAGGGATTTGTTTATTTCATTTGCTATTAAGATACCAAAAAACTTTGTAAAAGAAACTGAACTGAACTTTTTCGCAAATCTCTTCTCTCTCAAGTGCGGGCTAAGGGAATGTTTCTTTTTTAGTTACCTACTGGACATAACTACTTGGTGCTTTGTTACTTTCTAGTATTCTTTCTATGTGGCCTTTAAGAAAAGTTAGGTTGATAGCTAATTCTTGACTGTGCATTTGGAAAAAAGGCTGCTTTTCCTACAGCCTTTGCTTTTGATTTCAGAAGCTGTAGGGAGGAGTATCTCACCTTTTCTTGGACAGAAGGGGGCTGCAATTTTTGCTCGCTAACCCCTAAGTAGTCCTTTGAGGGAAAGCAGCTGATACTGTTGACTGATCAAGGTGGATAGCAGAAATGTGGCAGCTTTCCTGGTGGGGAAAAGCTGATAGAACAAATAGCCCTTTGCTTTATAAATCCTGCACGTGAGGACATAGGGTAAATGTACTGATACCTAGAAAAAAGCTAAGGAAGGACTCTTGAACAATAATATCTGTCTCAAAATTTTCTGTAGTGTTTTAGGGCTGATGAAACAAATCTGGTTTATAATGGTGAATAGTGAATCTGGCATCCTGCATTGAAGATGTATTTTATGTATTTAGAGCAACTTGATCCCATAGTTACTTCACCTCTTCCGAGTTGTTTGTTTTGAGTATCCAGTTTTCCATTCTCGTTACATCCTTAGAATGTGATAGAATGATCTGTCTTTAAAAAAATATTTTTTCTCCTTTCTGTAAGCAGTTTTTCATTCATCCTAGGCTGGAGAAGCTGCTCAGACAGAAGTAGTGTCAGAAGAAAACAAAAGTCTGATCTGGACGCTGCTGAAGCAAGTCCGTCCAGGAATGGACTTGTCCAAGGTTGTGTTGCCTACGTTTATCTTGGAACCTCGTTCCTTCCTGGACAAGCTGTCTGATTACTACTACCATGCAGACTTTTTGTCTGAGTGAGTCAATCCTATTTCTAGTTTTCTTTATTTTCGTAGAATGTATTTACATGCTCAAATAAAGCTAATAATTTAAAGGAAGCAAATGGAAATATTATTCAACTGTGAGTTCTGTATGTGAGTAGAACAGTTTCCTAAAGCAGTGTCTTTATAAATGGAAGAACTGGAGTTGAGGTGGAACAGGAGTTATAGATACAAAGGCCTAAAATATTTTATGTCCTGCGCTACTGTTCTTTCTTGTGATTAAGCTTGGTTGACTTTGTAAAATAAATGGTTTTTTATGTCTTTCCCTCTTATATATAGGAAGGAGAGAGAACTTGTTTGGGCCTAAAATGTCACAGTGTGGTCTGGAAAGAAAGAGTTCTCTTTTGGAGAGAGGGAAGGATTCAGTTTGTCAAACTAAACCCAAAAGTAAATATGCTCTCAAAGTACAGACTTCTGAGGTGGATTACACTGCAAGTGCAGGGTCTGTTAACAGTAGAAAGAAGCAGAAATCCACGATAGAAAACAAAATATTTAGTATAATTTCAAACACAATTTTTTATTTTTATTACTCACTGGACAGGTAGGTTTTCTAAATGTTAAGAAAACTCTTTAATTTTGTCCTTGTGCAGTATACCATGTGCAATATATTAGGTAGCACTGTCTCCCAGATCTGACCTTGGGGAAAATTTCCGTGGAGGGTACTCGAGAGAAGTTCTCCAAGGAAGCTTTCGCCAGTGTTTGGAACATAATACTTTCTAGGTTTTGGAGAGTTTTTTGCGTGTTTCTCTTTTATCATTCAGACAATTTTTATTCTGCTATATCTGCTTAGTTATTTACACATTGAAATCTTATATACAAAATAGCGTGGTTGAATACATGCTGTGTATAGCTTCCTCATGCTCTGTGGAGTATGCTGTAGGTAAGAGGAAGCTTGTCCAACAGACCGGCTATAAGAAACACTAACTATACTTGAAATGTTTTTCTTGAATTTATTTTGTATTTACACAAATTCTTGCTGTTATTTTGATGGATTTGTGGTGATCTGTGTTTCGTGGTTTGAACAGTTAGAGTTTCCCCTCTCAGAAAAGACTCAATTTTGGAAGTGCTATTTCTGATTTTCTGTTTGATTTGCATTTTGAGACATTTCTTTGAAATTTTTGGTTTTGATGCATCAGGCTGGAAGTTTTACAATACTGCAGATCACAATACCATTGTCTTGGTTGCTTCCTAGTTATATCACAATGATTTGAAAAATGTTGTAACTGAAACAGTACATAATGTAATTCATTTCTGTATGTGATCTATCCGTTCTATTTGTTTCATAGAGCTGCTCTTGAAGAGAATGCTTACAACCGTATGAAGAAAGTAGTGAAATGGTATTTGTCAGGATTCTATAAAAAGCCAAAGGTATCTTTTCACATATTTTGTCATTATTTTAGAGGCTATGTCTAATTCCAGAGCTTTGGGATGTGTTGGAGTATGTTTTTAATTATGTTGCTATGCATTTTTTTAAAAGCAAGGATAAGTTTTCGTTATTTGGAAAGTGGACATTTTTGGTCACTAGCCATGCTTAAAATGTACTGTATTCAACTGTTTTTTTTTTCCCTTGAAGTAGAAATTGAACTATATTTTTTGAGGTAAAGTTGAGACATTTCTTTATTTAGTAGTCATCAATGATGGCAGATTTCTGGTGAGGAAGAATAGTAATATTTCCACTTCTTCAGTTAGTTTTGTACTATATATTCTTTTCGTAGTCATGTTGGTGGGAAACAGTATTGACAGATTAAAGTACTTTTTTTTTTTTTTTTACCTGACTTCATACAAAAGGTCTATAATAATTCTCCTATGATAATTCTCAGTTTTTGTTTGTCCTTGTATGTAGGCTGGAAAAGCTTAGTTCGTGTACCAAATCTGTGCTGGTTCCCATAGAATGAAGAGTAGAATAAATATGCGTAATATTCAGATGATGAATTCAAGTGCAACGTGTTCTAAATTATATATTATGCTTTTTCTTTCTCAGTCTTATCTTCAGTTTCAGACTAGTAAAATATTTTGTAAGTTCTGTACCTGCATTGTATGACTCTGTTCTGTTTCTGCTCAGGGACTTAAAAAACCGTACAATCCTATACTTGGTGAGACTTTTCGCTGCATGTGGATTCATCCAAGGACGAATAGCAGGACTTTTTACATTGCAGAACAGGTAGTTGCAAGAACTGGAAAAAAGGTTTTTGAGAGAATTACCTTTATAGCATTTTTGGGCTAGACAAATGATGTTGCAGTTTTAGAAAAAAGTATTTAAATACGTGAAAAATATTCAAAAAGCTCTCCTGATGAGCATTGCTCTTTTACAGACATCTCTTTTAGTCTGTCTTTTGAGACAGACAGACACATAGCAAGTGAGAGAGAGAGAGAGAGGTGTTTCCAACCTTTCTCTTCCCTCTTCCTCCAGTAAAAGTCAATGGTTAGTTTTCTGAGTAACTCTTGAAATCCAGTAAGACTGTTTGATTGATTCTGAGTAACGCTGGAAATCCAGTAAGACTGTTTGCTTGATCTTTATGCCTAAAAGATGTGATCGCATTTCATATATATTGACTGTACTTAATTGTGTGCATCTTGAATTTTGTGTTCTATCATTGTTAGTTCAAGGTTTATACTATACTGCATGCTTTTGTTCAAATATGTGTGTTTTCAACAGGTATCCCATCATCCTCCAATATCCGCCTTCTACGTTAGCAACCGCAAGGATGGGTTTTGCCTTAGTGGTAGCATTCTGGCCAAATCCAAATTCTATGGTAAATAACGTGATGTTTTCTGGATGTGTAAAATGTGTGCATATGCCACAAGCTAAGTTTTGTGGATAGAAGAAGGCTGTTAAAGGAATTGGGTTTTTGATCATTGTATTCTGCTTTCCTTAAAAAGTTTTTACTACTGGTCTTGGGGAGTAATCAGTATTTTAATTTATAATTGGAGATGCTGCTTTTTGTAGTGGCTTCACTAGAAAGGATAGATTGCAGCACTGAATATACCAGTGTTCTTAATTTTGTTGCTCAGTTATTAGGAAATGTTGGCTATTGTCTTGCCGGGAGGAAACTACATGATAAAATATTATCTCTTTGAATTTTAGGGAACTCGTTATCTGCCATACTAGATGGAGAAGGACGGCTAACATTCCTAAATAGGGGAGAAGATTATGTAATGACTATGCCATATGCTCATTGTAAAGGTAGTTGGTTTTTTTCACTTGCTCGATGGCAAAGTTATGAGAACAGAGGTTCGTTATTCTTAGTAGTACATTGTCTTGGATTTGAGCTCGTCAGCTGAGAAGAGTTTTCTGAACATGGGCAACTTTGATGGTTGTCTTTATCTAGACTTTCAGGACAAAAAATAGTTTTTTTTAAAGCAATGATCTGATTTTGGCTCAGACAATTTTTTTTTCTCAACATAAATGGGAAAAGTATATATATTTATGTATAGCTATCTGTCATTATATGCCAGTAATTAACTGAATTTGAATTGTTTTCTTTCTAAAGAACAATTTTGTTGAGCTTCTCCAGTATTTTTTCTCTTGCAAATGTGAATGTCAGGCTAGCATCTACCCCTCAGTACACTATTTGAGTGTAAATCACACTTATTTTTCTCTAGTTTCAGTATAGGAAACCCATTAGTACTTTGTAAAGCTTTCAGGAAGGCTGGTAGTTGTACACAATTACATTGCAGTATCGCTGTTTTTTAAACTACTGCTTACCCAAGTATATTCAGCTGAATATTTTTTGCCGGACTTTGGCCAGTTAGCAACTACAATTCTTTCTTCATTTGAGATGTATGGAGATGAGTTAGCAGAGTTAGATAATTTGACATTAGATTGATAGGCCTTTTCCTTTCCATTTTTCATAGATGTTTTCGATATTCTGTGTGTGTGTGTGTGTGTGTGTGTGTGGTGGTGTTTTTTTTCTTTTTTCTTTTTTTTTTTAAATATGGCTTTGATCATTAAAAATTAGCACTTACAATGGATGCATGTGCAGATGCACTTCTTCAGCCTGCATATTCTTCCACCCTACTTGTAATTCACTTGGATGTTTGTGTGTGTTTGAGTTATTTGACAGAAAGATAATGCTCATAATTAGGAAAGGTCACCTAAAGAGATGATAAATGGAACTGTTTTCTATTTTTTCCTCTGACACAGCAGGGTTTACTCTAGGAATTGTGCCCAGAGAACTTAAGTTGTATATCTTGTTTAGTTGTAAATGTTCATTCTCCCTCTCTCTCTCTCTCTCTCTTTTTTTTCCCCTCCCAGGAATTCTTTATGGCACAATGACTTTAGAGCTTGGGGGAACGGTCAACATCACCTGTGAAAAAACTGGCTACAGTGCAACCATTGAATTCAAGCTCAAGGTTAGGAAATGCTGTGGGTGGGCACCAGAAGGGAATGAGCATAATTCAGGTCACTCTGTAGATATGGTCTAATTTCTTTCTCTTTAATATGGAATTGGCTCTTTTGTCTTTTTGGAAACAGAAATTTTCATGTCAACTGCCGCATGTCCAGCTATGTGTATCTAGAAAGCAACATTTAGAATACTAAGACTTATATTGTCCTGTATTATTTGTTCAATACATTCTTCTGGATCCAAAGGTCTGGAGTGAAATTTACAGCCCTGTCTTTAATCTCTGGTCATAAGGACACTACTAACATTGTTAAACATATCAATCTTAAGAACAGCTACAGCAGGTAAAAGCAAGGGTCTATATGTGTCTAGGAAAGTCTGTAAGAACAGGAAAAGTGTATAGTGATCTGATATGGAGCTCAGGCATTTTGTAAGGTGTTAATGATATCTTGTTGTGAATACCCCATTATGAATTTTTTTTAAACTGATAATGTTCAGAGTGTTTTTGACTCTGGAGACCTGGAGAAGCATTGAAAGAGAACTCAAATACAAGTTCTTCCCCTCTTCCATCCAGGATAAAGCTTAAGTTGCTTGTGACTCCTTGAGTAAAGATGATGCAAAGGTTTTAACAAGCATTTTGATCAGTCTGATGCCCAAGGCTAAGTTATATGGACTGCTTTTGAGAGCTGTATGTGCTATAGAAACATTGCTCCAAACTTAATAAACAGATGCAGTGAAATTAATGTTAATATTTGTAGTACTGCCACCTTCCCACTCAGAAAGGCTAAACAGAGAGTTCTCTACTACATATAGATGACTTGCATTTCTGAAAATATATTTTTGGTGTCTGAGGCAAAATCTGATTTGAAGCTGAACAAACAGTTGTAGAGGAGAGGTGTGCATGTAGAGGGGGAACCTGTGTGTTCAGTTGAAATTATAGGTGAAAATTAAAAATTAGGAGACTGTATTAATTGAAATTTTGCCTCGTCAGCCACAGGATGCATGTGCAGATTATCAAAAGGCCTGAAAGAAATCCCTGGCAATCGTGTTTGTTGCTGCTTCTGCAAGAGTTCATCCCTAGTAACAAAGGACCCTTGACAAAGTGTTAAAATTATTTAGTAAATGGCAGCTTCCTTCAAGGTGATATAGTCACTTAGTTTCCTGCATTATTCGCCATTTTCTGTCCAAATTTCTTAGGCAATTCCTATGCTTTTGTCTAACAAAGCTTCTGAGAGTATGAATAGAGGGTGAGAGAACAACTTTCTGTGATTTTATACTTATTTCTGAGATTAAGTAAGCAGAAAGTATTATCCTGAAAGCAGTGAGGGCTGTTTGCATCAGATCTCATAACTGTACTTTTTTCCGTAACACTTGACATGTATGAAAATATAATTTGCTATTAAAATAAAAATGAAAGCATTTCTTTGTTTTACAGCCATTTTTGGGTAACAATGACAGTGTTAATCAAATATCAGGGAAAATTAAGCTTGGCAAAGAAGTTCTGGCTATTTTGGAGGGTCACTGGGTAAGTAGTGAGCGATAGTACTTTATAAATTCTGACTGACAGTTAAGTGAAAATAGTACTCAGTTACAAAACAGATTCTAAAGTTTTGAGAATTGATAAGTGACACTTTTATGAAAGGGTCTTGTTAGAATCAGCTCAAGAATGTTATAACGTTATAGTCAGTCACAGGAATGAGCGACATAAGGTCGCTTGCAGCTCTCAGTGGTGGAAGAGTTGAGTGTGTTTGACTAGTTCATGAAAAAATATTTTTCAGCTTGTAAAATGTCTTCAATATATGTATTAGTGCTATGAGGAATTGTTATGGCACCAGCATGAAATCAGACCTGGTTCAGTTCTAGTGAGATGACAGTATCACCACTGTTTTTTGGGCATGGTAGTGGTTACATTGCTTTTCTATTCCAAGTTAGAACTAGTACAGGCTGTAGAAATTGGACTCTGAAATTAGCATTTGTAATTATTAGCAGCTACGTGTATCCGAAAGAAAAAAAAGAAAAAAAAGAAAAAAAAAGGTTACAAAAATTGCTTATTCCTCCCTTTTGTGTTATCTTGGCACTATTTGAGACTATTACAGTTAGGCTAACTAAATTATATATGTTACAGGACAGTGAAGTTACCATTAGTGACAAAAAGACAGATGCTTCCGAGATCTTCTGGAACCCAACGTCTGATATGAGGCAGCGTAGATTACTTAGATACACAGTGAAGTTTGAAGAGCAAGGTGACTTTGAGTCAGAGAAGTAAGTTTACTTTAGAAGCGTGTATAACTGTTTTTACAAAATAAAACTCATATTATAGTCTCCAAACTGTAAATATTAGCTAGTAGCTGATGTTTCCTGTTTTACTATATTTTCTGCTTGTGCCCTATAAAACAAGAAAGGAACACTGTTAAATACAAACTCATTATTTACAAATCTTACAATCACGGAAAGTCTTAATGGAAATATAGATACAAGATACATTACACTGTGGTAATATTTTTCTTAGAAGTTGATCCCTTTACTTAGCTTCTAATTAGGGAAATGTTTACAATTTTTTCTGTCAACCAGAGTGTAAGTCTGTGTTGCTCACTTGTCAGGCTTTGGCAGCAAGTGACTCGAGCAATAAATAACAAAGACCAAACAGAAGCTACTCAAGAGAAATATGTTCTGGAAGAAGCCCAGAGAAAGGGTGCCAAAGAGAGGAAGCTTAAGGGTGAAGAGTGGACATGCAAACTGTTTGATCAGGATTCAGTCACAGGAGAATGGCACTACAAATTTGCAGAGTGAGTGCTGGAATGTCTCTAACAAAAACTGCTATTTAAATGTTTGTAAGTGACTGTTGCTGAGGTTCCTGCGCTGGTTTCAGGAGTAAAAGAGCTTGTATAAATGACTGAGTTTAGACTTGCAAAACAATGCAACACTACTTGATATTTCTAATCATGTTACATATTTTATTTAAAATTCATAATTTATTAGCTGAACTTGATTGGCCCCTCACCAAAGAGAAGGTGTTAGTAGGTATTGTTGAAAAGACAGTGATTGCTGCTCATCGCGTTTCATATAACCATTGCAGTGAGCATTTTCCTCTTTGTCTTTATGGTTATGGGCCTCTCTGAATTCATGGCATGTTTTAGGGTTTTCTCGGGTATGATCTACTCTCACAAAAGCTGCATCAGAATGATCTTCATGTGGCTGACTTGCAGTTTCTATCTGGAAAAGGTAGTAATTGGCCTATTGGGCTTTGCATGCCTGTCTCTTCTCTTGATGTTGTATTTTGGCTCAAAGTTCTTCTCTTCCTTGAAGTGGAGAGGGTCTATAGACGAGTTTTATCGTTGTTCCTGAAACAATATGTTCTCAGTTCAAGCGAAAGACAGTCTGGTTGTCGTTTGGTCAGAATGAAGATGGTTTCCCTTCTTATAAGTACAAAATTTCTTATACTAGAATCATTTTCTGCAGCTGAACTGGTTACTAAGCAATGCTTTACTTCATTGAGGTGCAAAGCATTCCCCTTCCCTTTGGCTGTTTGTCATTGTGCAGTGAGCCATGCATCTTTTGCTGGACTTTTCTATATCAACCAATATTTGGGAAAGCCCACTTAAACATTTGAGCAAGCAAACTGTATGTAGCTCATTATTGCCTCTTGAAACCAGTCTTGACTACTGTTAGCTGCTTTCGGATGAAAACATTTGAAGTGACTGTTTCCCAACCTCTTCCTCCTAGGCATTCTGAAACACAGGTAAAAATGTCTGAATTATTATGCAATTAAGTGATTTATGGTGTCTACTGCCTTGTCTTGCTCTTCTAGAAGGGAAAAAAAAAGTCCAAAAAAGCCTGACTTTGCTCCTAGTTTCCCTGTAGTTCCACGATGACTTTACATTGTGTAGAAAATCTCTCCATGTTTGGCAAATACATATCTCCGGCCAGATATTTTCATAATGGTGTTGTTGGTTTAATACAGTGGCTTGCACTCTTACCAGCCTGCTGAGAAGTTGACGTGGATGTGAATTTTATCTTAGGCTTACCTGTCCCTTCAGGTTAGGACTGGGCTGTATGTGAAAGATAGCATTACTTATTCCGTGTCTACCTTCAGTAGGGAGAGAGATCTTCAACTTATATATTCTGAGTATTTTCCTTTGAGTAAGAAAATATTCTTATTTATATTGCTATGATATTAATGAATTGCATTCACTCTCTAGTACCAGACCATGGGACCCTTTGAATGATATGATCCAATTTGAAAAAGATGGCACCATCCAAACCAAAGTTCGACATCGGACACCAATGGTATGTGTGATTTTTGTTAGCTGCTGCAGCAGGATCCAGGGACTTGTACATATTTTATTATGTGTATGAAGCTGATCAAAGCACTGGGGGGGATGGAAGTTACTGTTGTTATCCTACAAAAATGTAGTTTACCCAGTTCGTAGTCTCTCACTTCTCTGTTGCATGGTGAGTGATAATTAAATGGATAGGGATATAGAGCATTCAAACTTGATCTGAACGGTTTAGTATGACCTTTCCCTTAAAAGACAAGATGCACAAGCTTTAGGCTGCTTTTACATAAAAAATCTTAACTTGGGCCTCTTATATTGGATATCGTGCTTGTAATTGTTACTGTTAAATTGTGGCAAAGCAGCGCATTCGTCATTCTTGGGAAATAATTCATAAGTGTATCAATTGTAGGTTAGTGTTCCAAAAATCAAACGAAAACCAACTGGTCAGCAGAAGAAAGGGGAGTGTGGTTTTTCATCCCCTGAGCCTGATAATCAGGATTCCTCTGGAAGTGAAGGTAGGAAAAGATATATTTGCATATAGAAATGGTAAATTTATTTGACAATTAGATGAAACTCTGTAGTCACACATACTCTCCTATCTCGGGATGCTTGTATTATAAATTACTGTATGCTTTCGATCACAATATTAAGTGTGTCCTGGAAAACCAGAAGCAGCAGCTGGCTCATGGTTTTAATTGGAAACTTCCCTGTCCTTTTAAGCATCCATGTGCAATGTAGGTAGGCTTAAATGCTGCACATACTAAATCTCTATGAAGAAAACTATTTGTAAATTCTTTGCTTAAAAAAAAGTGTTGTTTTAATTTGTAGATCAGCATATTGATAGAAGACAGATTTTTGTTGATGACGGTGCTTGTAGCAGTTAATATAGCGCATGTTTTAAAATGTCTGATGCTTAACTTGCTGTCCCTATGCTATAGTTGACTCTAGAATAAAGCTTTTCCTTTCAGTAAAAACTCAATTAGAAAGCTTTCTCCTCGTTTTTGCAAATGTTTTGGTTTGTTAGACCTTTGTTCAGTTTTGAACTGAGCAGTCTTTTCTGTCAGTTACATCTGGCTTTTGTATCTTTCTAGCACAACTTCTGAAGCATAATACAAGAGTAAGGAAAAAAGGGGCAGACCTTGCTGAACTGCAGAGTGCAATTGAATCTATAAAGGAAACGCAAGAAGACATTAAGAGGTAGACTGAATAACATGCTTGATAATAGTTGAGAGAATATTAATTTTCTAGCTTATTTTTAATTAGTATTTAAGCCCCTTAAGTGGAAACCAAGTAAACTACTTCAGCAACTTCTGTTTAAGAATTCTGGGATCTTTTTTGCTTTGGTGTATCATGTGCTTTGGAATAGTTCAGAGGAGGACGCTGCTGCGCTAACAAGCCTGATTGCTTCTATAATAAATGCAGACTGTTTTCTTTGGAGAGTTGTCAAATTATGAAATAGAGTTACCTAAAATAAATGGCATGGGGGTTTCTGATTTTGGGTTACTGAAACTATTTTTTAGTATTTCTTTCACTCCTGGACAATTGTTAATCAATTTTCATTCCTTGTACATTTGAATGATGGCAGTACTTCTTTCAGAATGTTACAGAAGGTTTTTGAGCCATGTATCTCAACAGTAGTATTAAATGGGAGAAGGAGAGATGATGATAAAAAAGCAGCCATAGTGATTTCAAACCAAAGGTTTATGTACTCCAGTAATTAAAATAGACTGCCTAGACAAAAGTATAAGATGGAAACAGTTTAAAACTTCATTTAGACAACTTAGTTGATGGAGATGGACTGATCTGTCTTTAAAAAAAAAAAAAAAAGTATTACTGTGAAATTTCTTTCAAGACTCATGGCAATGCAATACTTGCCTTAGGGAAATCACCTGAGAGTTTTCGTGTTCGTGTCTTATTATAGGATTGGAACCAAATTTTGATTTTTAAGTCTCTTTGGAATTTGTCCTGCTTTGTGCTGAAGTTCACTAACATAGATGTAGACTAAGACAGGAGAAGGGATAGTTTTATTGAAGTAGAAATGAAGAAGCTCTGAGAGCAGAGCACTTTAAAAGCACAAGGCAAGCAGAGACTGAAACTAAATCTGTTTTATTGAAAAGCTTCTGAACATCAAAAAAACCCCTTCAGCTCAGCTAACCACCGTATTCATTTTTTATGGTGAAACTTACAATTATAATTCCCTCTCTGGAACAACTGGAGGATAATGGCTGCCAAAGCCTTCATGAATTCGAACACCAAACCTCATGTATGCATACAACAACACTTCATGCCCTCAAAGGGAGGCCTTTTATGTATATGTATATGTGTGTGTATATATATAGAGAGAGAGAGAGAGAGAGAGTTATGTTTTAACAGTTTTTCACATTTGTAACTTTTACAATGTAAAATAGACAACCAAATGATGGGGAAACATTGATCATCTCAGGCTGTACACTAAGCACATATTAGTAACTGGAGTAGCTTTTTTCAACTAATTTTTTTTAATAGCTAGATATGCAGATGTGAAATGTTATTTAAGCACACAAAATATATGCACAGATTGTGTGAGCTAGTTTGTTAATCTTTGACTCTTACCTTTAAACACTTCAGCTTGTAGTGTATGCTTTTTAAATACAGCTTTGCCATAAGCTAGTGTGAACTTTATTTTTTGTTTGTTTTTCACTAATTTCAAGGAACAGCTCTCAAACTGATTATATTGTAACTGAAGAGGAAGTACTGGCTATTATTTATTGAATACGAGAAGTAAAAGTAGGACCATCAGAATATTTTCTCTCTTTCAGTGTCCTTGATGTCATTTTTGTTTGAAATGCAATCTGTGAAATGTTTGAAATAACCTAGCATTTGTTTTCACTGGAGACTGGTATATATCTTTTTGTTTTGGAGCCTTTAAAGGACAAGGAAAATTAAATCACTACCCTTGCTCCCAAATATAGCTTTCTCCTTGATATTTCATAATTTTCCTCAAAAGCTATCTTTTGCCTTGGACCCCTAACAGCGGCTAGGAAATGCCAAATTGTGTAGATTGTTATTTAAAGGATTTTATTTTATATCTTACAGGGACATTATGGCTCTACGAAATCGAGTCACTTCTAATTCACCACCTGTGGACAGCCATTTTTTGCAGCTTAAGCACTGTGTCTTCATTTTACTCCTGATTCTGCTACAGTTTGTCATTAATTTCTTGTTCAAATAGGAAGCGTGAACAAGGGCCTTTCTGAACTGGAATGATCAAACTCTTACTGGGGACCATATTTTAAGTTGGACTTTAAGTGATGCAATACTATCTCAAAGAGCCCCGTAGCAACAACTTACAGAACTTTGCGTCTGAGTGCATGGTTCAGAGTCATACTCGCATCTACCCAGTTGAAGTAAGAATTGTGCAAGTGCCAGTACACTCTTGTTCCTGGTGTGTGCCTCTTTCTCTGTCTCACAGACGTGCAACATCAGCCTTGTGTTTTATTGTATGTCATACACTGAACTGATAAACTTTCACTCTGGAATAGCTTAAATTCAAAATTCAGAGGTCAGTCCATGTTAGTAGGACCTTTCCTATTTTGGTAGAATAATAAAAAAGCGGAGTTTGTTACATTTAAACTCACCATTTTTTGGAACAAAGTAACTTTTGAAGCAACACCCTTACTTACATTCTTTGTAAATGACATGGGGTGTTTGGAGGTAAACTGTTTAAGGTCAAACAAATACATTATTATGCAAAGCTCATGAGTTTTAGAAACTGGCAAGTAAAGAGCTGAAGTCTTTGAGACCTTTGCAACTTAACGTCCTTGATTTGTTTGTGGAAGTATGACAGTTTTTATTCTGAATTATGATAAGGGCTTATAAGCCAGTGGTTTTATTTTTACAGTTTTAAAACTTAAGTTTCTTTATAAAAGCATTCCTTCATCTAGTATGGAGAACACGTTTTTAACATTGCAGCAGCCAGGAAGGTACTGTCTTGGTCCACGCATGCTTGTGAGTTGCAAATGTCAAGGATTTACGATATGTTTGTAAATTTTGATAAATTGGCAGCTTTGAATTTACTTTTGTATATGGCCGCTTCACAGTCAGAAGACAGACTACTGATATCAGGGACTCTTTCTTATATCTGAAACAAAATGTTAACATGCAAAGTTATGTTTAGTGTGTAGCTTGTGCTGAATCTCCCAAAGGACTATGCAGAGACTATGCAGAACAGAATTTAGCCAAACAGTCAACAGTTCACTTGCAAATGAAAATATGCTTCTAAGGGGAAAGGCTTCAGAAATATTGGGATGGCCAACACATGTACCAAAACAAATGGTCCCTTAAGACCTTAAGAAACCTTAAGTCTCTTTTAAATTCCTCTTTACTGCAATATATATACTATGTAAGTTACTACCATGATGCACCTATTCATTATTCTAAAGATTAATTATAAAGCTTAAATATCAATGTAAAACCAGGGTTTTGAATATGTTTTTATTTGAAGAAATATATGCATGTATACAACTTGCAAAACTTCAGGAAAATAATTTAGTGCTAGTATTTGTCTGGCGAGTTCCTTACGCCAGTCAAGCCTTTCCGTCTTTGCATCAAGTTAAAAAGGGGCTGGAGTAATGTAAAGGTACCTTCAGTAGCCCAGATGAGACAGTGGGATTATGAGAGGCACGATAGAAAGGGCAGCCAAGTTTGTTTTCAGATGATCTTCTCAGAAATCAAATGCATGCTGGGCAATGGAACAGTTCAGGTGTCACTTTTGGCTTTTTGCCATGGGTTGGTTATTCCTCTGTGACACCTGAGCTTATGCTTGGGCAACTTCCCTCTCTCTCAGACTAAGCTAACATGAGGAGACTGCAAAGTTAGCTTGAGGGTAGCCACTGTCACCCTTGTAAGTCCAGTTCTATGTCGGTCTCACCCAGTATTTAGTGAAAATACTATTTACTTACTGTCAGCCTCGCTCATATGCTTCTGTGGCTGACATCTTCACTGTACCTCCCCTTCCACTTTTTCTTTGGGCCCCAGCTGCATAAGAGTTTATTGCTGGAGTAGCCAACTGTAGCTTATTCTGCTTACTTCTTACAGCTTTATATTAGCATAGTTTGGTCTTGATTCATTTTCTGGAACATGGTAGCTTAACCAAACAGAGTGGTCTTGTATAAGTGGCCATGACCAGACTTGGTCTTCTACCATGTCTATAGCTGATGAGGCAAAATTTGTGAATATAGAAGGGCCCTCATTGTATTTAAAAAAAAAAAAAAAAAAAAATTTAGGGATCTCCCTCTCTCTTCTTAAGTCCCTAACAGCAGAACCTGAAGCTGTTAGCAGTGCAAAAGATGTGGCATAATGACCATGTCTATAGCTGATGAGGCAAAAGTTGTGAATATAGAAGGGCCCTCATTGTATTTAAAAAAAAAAAAAAAAAAAAAATTTAGGGATCTCTCTCTCTCTTCTTAAGTCCCTAACAGCAGAACCTGAAGCTGTTAGCAGTGCAAAAGATGTGGCATAATGAAAAAGAAAGCAGAATATGATGATATTAAATTAAAGCTCTCAGCACTTAATTAGATCATTCATTATATCACTCAAATGTCAAAGTTTTACCTATTTTAGGATGTGTTACAAGTCATTAAGTGTACTTTGTACATGGGAGGGATACATGAGAAAATGAGAGGGAGGTAAAAATAAATTAAGAATTTAGGCAAAAGTTTAAACTGAGCACTTAAATTTTTGGTGCTGAAGCTCATGACTAATAGTTCAAGAATTCTATCTCCCTTATAAATAAAAATATCCTTCTGCCCTTTCATGTTGGTTTTAATTACTTCTGTTCAAGATCAGTTAATAACCCAGTCTAGATATAATTTTTATATGAACCTCATGGTAGTAGTGAATTTGGCCTAGCTAGCTGGCTGGCAGCATGCTTTTAAACAATGTCAGATTAAACACACACCCTATATCAGAAATTCATGTTCTTCAGTTCAAGGTGAATATAGGACTTGAAAGGAGCAAGACAAAAAGGCCTCTGCTCATATTTTTCCTTTTCCACTTAATTTTTAAAGGTTATTTATGTTCTAAAAGTAGGTTTAGTCCTGGTCCTGGAACGTAAAGGATACAGAGTGAAACTTTTCAAAGCAGAAGTCACAGACTTCTGCTTGACTGAATGATTACTGAAATACTAAAAAGCACATCTAAAGGCTGGTAATCCCTATTTTGCTGGGTTTTGTATAATGTTCCCTCATGTGAACAAAACAAAGGAATTTCTTGCCTGATTTTTATAGTACAGCTGGTTGCAGGTCTTGTTTATGAAGCCTTTTCTCTAGCACATCCCCATTGTCCTATTTTACCATGTTGTGTAGCTGATCTTGAATATTATGTACCTAAGACTGAACTCTGCTCGCAGTCATAAAAAGTGACTGTACAGTTTGCTGATGTTTGAGGGCAGTGGCCTCTTACTAGTTTTTAATGTTCAAAACAGCACTTAGTTTCACACTTGATTTTACTTTTACCTGATTTACTTTTTTTTTGTTGTACAGGTAATAAGATATTTTCAGAGTTTGTTGCCATGATGGTTGCTTGCTGTTGTTGTTTTTCCTTCAGAAGCACTCTAAGCCTTTAATTTGCCATTCAGGTACAGATGACCTAAAGATAAAAAGAGTAAATTTGTCATGTGAAATGTAGCAAATACCACTTTTAGCAGTAGATGGTGTTTCTTGCATTTCACATGTTGATTACTTAAAGTAGTTGGTGTTACTTATGAGGGTATCATGTCTTCCCCCTCCCATTAAAACTTTTAAGGAAATGAAAGGTTGTCCTATAAAACTTTGTGATGGTGGTTTTCTTTTTCTCTTTGTTTGCTGCCCTCCTGTGCCTTTGGGAAACTTTGCCAGACTGGTGTTTATGAAACAAAATTTAGACTCAATGTTTGGTATAGTTACTTAAAGGGTGTTACATCACTGCTGTTTGTGTAAATAACATGTAACAAGGATGCTGTACATCTGTAAGTTTTTTAACTGTTGTATTGCAAGGGTGTCCCCCAATCACTGAAAATTTAGCAGGTACTCAAGTATTGCAAACAGTGCCTTCTCGATGGGTTTCTTGCAGTTCTGAGGTATGTACGGATGATTGTCAAGCTTGTGCCATATGTAACATCCCATCTTTTGTGAAGGCTGTTGTTTTTGAAAACTCACTTTTCTGCTTAGTCAGGCTCTCTCTTGCTCGGAAAAAAAAAAACCCCAGCAAACAAACTCTTAAAGCAAAAACTGTTCGCTCTTCTGGCTGGTGAGGCATGAGTGGAGAGCGTTTTGCATCTTATGCTGTTTGATACAATTAAGCTGCAGCTGCAGTAGTTTTGTGGTATCGCAAGAACAGCCATAGCACAATAACCTCACAGACAAATTTTGGGGGCTTTCTGGCCTTCACCTAATTTCTAATGCAAAGAAAAACTAGAGGGGGGTATTTCTTAGAGGGTGTAGTGGACAGATATGTGTGCATACTGTGTAAGCGGTCAAGTGTTCAGCTCTTTCCGTTACGTGGGAGCTACGCACACCGTACGAAGCGCCTGTGTTTGACTAAGTCGGAAAAGCAGTTTTTAAAAGACAAGAGCCTGCC